TACAGGCATGAGCCACCGCACCCGGCCTGATGCTGCTTCTTATAGGGCATTCAAGTAAGACCTCTCTCACAAGGTGTAATTTGAAAAGAGACCTGAAGAAAGTAGGAGAAAGGAAAGGAGTGAGAGTCTCCTATAAGGGGAGGAGAATGAATTGGAGAAGTAGGAGAGCACTACCAGGCAGGGCCAATGCCCCCTTGAAGTTAATGGCCATAAATCTGAAGTGATTAAGGAACTTAAAATCATATATATACTCTAGATATACACTGTATATATATTTAAAATCATATATACACTATATATGTCATATATACTATATATAAATCATATATACTGTATACGTGATTTATATATATACACACACTTCAAATTTGTAGCCATTAACTAAATTTTATATACATATGATTTAAGTCCCTTAATCTCTTCAATACATATAGAATATATAATATACTGATAAAGGCAACACAAATAAGTGCAAAGGCATCCCATATTCATGAATTAGAAGACATAATTTTGTTAAACTGTTCATACTACCCAAAGGAATCTACAAATTCAATTCAATTCCTATCAAAATCCACTTAGTGACTGGGTGCAGAGGCTCACACCTCAGAAGGCCAGGGTGGGAGGATCATTTGAGTCCAGGAGTTCAAGACCAGCCTGGACAACATAGCAAGACCCCTTTTCTAAATAAATAAATAAATAAAAATTAGCCAGGTATGATGGCATGTGCCTATCTATAGTCCCAGCTACTCCAGAGGCCAAGGAGAGAGGATCGCTTGAGCACAGAAGTTTGAGGTTACGGTGAGCTATGATCATTACCACTTCACTCCAGCTTGGGCAAAAGAGTAAGACTCCGTCTCTACAACAAACAAACAAGAAAGAATTAAACAAACAGACAAAACAAGCTGCAATGATATCACCTTACACCCATTAGAATGGCCATTATAAAACAGTAACAACAGGTGTTGGTGAGAAGGTGGATACCTTAGAACTCTTGTGCACCATTGGCGGGAATATAAAATAGTGCAGCCGTTTTGGGAAACAGTATGGAGGTTCGTTAAAAGTAAACTATCTTATGATTCAGCAATCACACTTACGGGTATTACCCAAGAGAATTCAAGACAGGATCTCAAAGAGGTATTTACACTCTAACATTTATTTCAGTAGTATTCACAATAACTAAGGCAGAAACAACCTAAATGTCCATCAATATGAATGGATGAAGAAAATGCGGGCCCGATGCAGTGGCTCACATCTGTAATCCCAGCACTTTGGGAGGCTGCAGTCACAGAATTGCTTGAGCTCAGGAGTTTGATATCAGCTTGGGCAACATAGTGAGACCTCATCTCTACAAAAAATAAAAATGAGCCAACAGGCATGGTGGTGTGCCTGTAATACCAGCTACTGAGGAGGCTGAGGACGGGGGACCACTTGAATCCAGGCAATCCAGGCTGCATTGAGTCATGATCGTGCCACCATACTCCAGCCTGGGCGACAGAGCAAGACTCCAAAAGAAATAAAGAGAGAAAAAGAGAGAGAGAGAGAAGAAAGAAAGAAAGAAAGAGAGAGAGAGCGCGCGAGAGAGAGAAAGAAAGAAAGAAAGAAAGAAAGAAAGAAAGAAAGAAAGAAAGAAAGAAAAGAAAG